TTTGGGAGGAGGCTGTTTGCAGGATTCAACTATTATACTAAAGCTGGAGAAGCTCTGGTGTGTATTTCTTATCTGTGGAAGTCTGGGTTGCTGTCAACGTTTTGTCGGTGTGTTAATTTACTGTGAATAAATTGTCTAGCAGTAATCTTGTGTCGGCATGAATCACCGTATGGGGGGGGGGGTCAGAACAGATAAGGGACAGCAGAATTCCAGAGGGGTTGGACTTAAGAACAGATGCTCCCATCCCTGCATCCTCCCGTACATCTTTTAGTCCCAACAAGGGAGGATTTTTAACTACCCGAAATCTTGGCCTTTTCAGCCTCCCCCACCGCTGTTTAAGGTGATCGAAGACTCTAAGAGCAAGTTGGAGACCAACAAACTTACCATGAGAGTCACTTCCAGAACCTCAGAGAGGCCGTGGAAAGCCAAAAAAGGCAAAATCCAATCCAAGGCGTTGAAGCCTCCACTCGAAGTGTCGTATGAGGACAAGGAGGTAAGAGCGGCCTCATGACTGAACCTCAAATACGGTGGCTGAGGTAAAAAAAAAGGCAAACCTGATTTTTCCCACTTAAGAGCCTCTTTTACATAAATGTAGAAATGTTTTCTCCTCTTCTCCTCCCCCCACCCCCCAAAAAAATACCTCGCTATTATAGCCTACTGGGAATAAAACTAAGAGAGAGATTCCAATGGGGGACTTGTTCATAGGTGTGAGTGGAAGGGTTACACCACAAGGTCATCTAGTCCAACCCCCGGTTCAGTGCAGGAATTCACGATCCCAGGGAGATCACTCCCTCTGCCTCGGGGTTTCCGCTGTGCCTGAGCAAAATTGCTATGGATACGTCTGACCTCATTTAAATGAACTGAAAGTGGCGTTGGGAACAGTATTTGTGTGTGCGTGTGTTGTGTGTGTGTGTAGCTTAAATTTTGAACTCCACCATTCCAGCGGACGGTTGTCCATCATCTGAAAATCCCCAGGACTATAATCCTGAGTGTCTGAATATGGAAGTTAAGTTAGGTCACAAACTCTGTGATCCCTTATGGGAGAGGTTGAGCAGCTGTCTTAAATCTTTAATCACAGGTTTTTGAAGTGGGGGAAGGAGAATACAGCAGAAAGGAACAGAACAAGCTGAATGGCCCAAGAAAGAAAGCTTTATTTTATTTTGGTGCTAGCTATTATTTTATTATTATTTTGGTATGAGCCCACAAAGGATCAATTTGTATGTAGGCATACATCCACCAGCGTTTACATACAGACGTTTCATTACCAAACTAGGGAATATCATCAGTGCTCACTGGTGGAAGCATGCCTACATGCAAGTTTCTCCTATCTGTGTGCTTTCTGAAGTGTCTTATGCCCATATGTGGTACCAATAAAAGAGAATGTTCCTAGTTCAGGGTTGAACTGTGAGGTCCTTGGTGCTCTCTGAGCTTGGTGGCTTCCTTGCAGACATTTCATTACCAAACCAGGTAACATCATCAGTGCTAGCCACAGAGAATGCTAATTGGATATAAAGAAAAAGCCGAGATAAGTTTCTTCAAATTGCCACATTCAAAATGGAGGGAAGATTCTTGGGGAGAACTGCAGCCCGTATAAAGAAAAAATAACCCTCTCACTCCCGTTGCAGAATGAGTTGCCGGAGGGGCTGAATAAGAAGCGTCTCCAAGCTTTGCTAAAAGGGTTTGGAGAGTATCCAGCAAAATACAGGTCTGTGGAGTGCTGCACGCTGAGCCCGTTTGTTTTTGCAGTCTAAACACGCAGCCAAAGTTGGCCCTGCCCTGCTCATTTGCTTTACGATTGCAGGATGTTTATTTGGCGCGCCTTGCTTCACCTCCCCGAAAATCACTTGGCCTTTAACAGCCTGTTGGATAAAGGGACCCATTCGGCCTTCGCACACCTTCAGAATGAATACCCAATTAAAAGCAGGAAACTCCTGAGAGTCTTACAAAGGTAAGAGGCGGATTATTTGATGCCAGAGATGTGGGGTGGATTTGCTTTAAACGGATAGCTATAGCACTTAGGCTGATATACCACTTTACAGTGCTTTTACAGCCCTCTCTAAGCGGTTTACAGAATCAGCCTATTGTCCCCAACAATCTGGGTCCTCGTTTTACCCACCTCGGAAGGATGGAAGGCTGAGTCAACCTTGAGCCTGTGAGAATCGAAGTGCCAAATTGCAGGCAGCCTACAGGCAACAGAAGTAGCCTGCAGTACTGCGTTCTGGCCACTGTGGGTCATTTAATAGCCCTTGATTTACAACTGTAATTTGAGCCCACAATTTCAGTTGTAAATTGTGACAGTTGCAAAGTGGGTCATTGCACCACTAAACAAGTAAGTCCAGGACTATCTGTAATAGGGGACTCCAGAGTACTTCAAACAGCAGTAAATGTAAATGCTTGGCCAGTAGCCAAGCACCGAAAATGCAAATAACATTGGAATTTAAAATCCGGCTACTAATTTCCATTTCTGGATTCTGTCATAACTTTGAACGGTTGCTAAGCAACTGGTCATAAGTCAATGCCTATCCACAGGTAGGATAGGTGAGTGACTTTTCCTTATTCCTTTGTCGGAGACCTAAATAATTTCATGGTTGTTTCAGTAACAAGGGATGAAATAGAAGTCTGCAGTCAAAATTCTGGGAGCTGAAGTCCATGTTCTTAAATTTACCACAGTTAAAAACACTGATCTAGGATGTGGTTAACCCTAATTGTGGTTAGATAAACCTTAATCATCATAGCAGAGTGTTTTAATGGCCAGATGCCCTTCCTGTCGCCCATGCGAAGTTTTGTTCAGCAGATATATTCTCTGAGTGCCCCAAGAGAGAAATATCTGGATCGAACTCACAGCCTCCTGATTGTGATTATGATTGTGATTAGATGAACCTTAATAGGGGAAACAATTTCTGTTACTCAATAGGTTCTTTGAGAAGAATTTCCCAACCTGGTCAACTTTAACTGGTGTGGACTTCAACTCCCAGAATTCCCCAGCTGTTTTAGAAGGATCTGTTTTTTGGGTTGTTGTGGTTTTTTTTTTAAATTGTGCAAGATTCTTGCCTGCCTTTTCTACACAGCTCCTTTTTCTTTCTCCCCAGGACCCTTTCTGGCCTGGCTCACTGGTCCACCATCTTTGGCGAGATGCCTTACATTCCTCTCCTGGTTTTCCCCTTCGTCAAACTCTTCCAGAACAATCCGCTCATCTGCTTTGAGGTGGTGGCTACTGTAATAAGTAAGGAAGGGTTTTTGATGGAAAGGCCACCCGACAGGCCTCCTGGCCTGTGGGATATCTGGCAGAGTTTTAATGTTGCCAGCTGGACACTGGAATTCAGTTTTGTGGGGGGAGCTGCAAGTGTCCACCAATGGGCTAAGTGGAAAGATTGACATTGAGTACAGCTAGTCCTTGGCTTACGACCACAATTCGGGCCAGAATTTCTATTGTTAAGCACGCCAGTTCTTAAGTGCATTTTGCTCCGTTTTACCCTCTTTCTTGCCGCAGCTGTTAAGTGAATCACTGCAGTTGCTCAGTTGGGAACATTGTTGTTAAGTGAATCTGTCCTCCCCATTGACTTTAGCAATAGCACTTAGACTTATATACCACTTCACAGTGCTTTACGGCCCACTCTAAGCGGTTTACAGAGTCAGCCTATCGCCCCCGACAATCTGGGTTCCTCGTTTTACCGACCTCGGAAAAATGGAAGGCTGACTCCACCTTGAGCCTGGTGAGATTGGAACTGCTAAATTGCAGGCAGCCGGCAGTCAGCAGAAGTAGCCTGCAGTGCTGCATTCTGACTTTGCATGTCGGAAGGTCACAAAAGGGGATCACATGAGCCCCAGGACGCTGCAACCGTCATAAATATGAGTCACTTGCCAAGGGTCTCAATTTTGACTCTGGGGATGCTGCAACGGTCATAATAGGAGAACCAGCAGTGAGTGACTTTTTTAAGTGCCATTGTAGGTTTGAATAGTCACTAAAGGAATAGCTATAATTCAAGCACTACCTGTATTTTTTTAATTAAAAAAAAAACATGCCCGGTTGAAACTCTGGAGCAATTCTGTTTCTCTTCGGAGCCTCTGAGCATCTTGGGAAGGTGGAGGAATCAGAACTCCCCACTTGCTAGTTGTGGCTCCAGCCTCCATTTTTGTCAAGGAAAAACAGTGCAGGTGGCAGAGGCATCCAGAGGACTCCTTCAAGTCCCTTAGATTTCCTCATTTTTGTGCCTTCCAGATGTGTTAGACTGCAGTTCTCATCTTCCTCAGGTGGCACCGTTGGTGTTGAGGAAAAAAGGGGCCACTCGGAGGTCATACCTTTGCCATTGTGAGAGAAACAAATCTTTGCCTTGCCTTCTGGTAACCCTTCATTGAGACACGGCCATTGACCGCTGAAGAAGTTCTCTGTGTTCTCTTTTATAGTCAATTGGTGTCAGCACTGGTTTGAATTTTTCCCCAACCCTCCCATCAATGTCCTCAGCATGGTGGAAAACATCCTGGCACATCATGACAAAGAGCTCCTCCACCATTTGATGAAGCACAATATAACCTCCCAGGTAAAAAAGAAAAGGAAAAAGAAACTGCTTGAACCATTGAGATGAGCCATAAAAACCATGGTTTGCAAGCAACTGAGGGTTTGGCCTTTGGGTGTGTGGAATCGAACCACATCGTGGCTTAAGAAAGATGTGGGAAGGTAGTCTGTTGTTGTGTCGAGCAGTGTTTCTCAATCTGGGGAACTTTTTAAGAGTGTGGACTTCAACTCCCAGAATTTCCCAGCCAGCATGACTGGCTGGGGAATTCTGGGAGTTGCAGTCCACACTTCATACAGTTGCTGAGGTTGGGAAACACCAATGTAAGACATTAAGGTGTCAAAAACTCTAAAATTTAACATCGTCCTCTTTAATACGTTGAATGTAAATTCAAGGTGGGCTCCCATACACTCAAGGAAGCATTTATCTTGCAGTCACCCCTCCATCCTAAGAGATTTTGATCCCCACATTTTCAGCTTGTACTTTGTGAACTTGGGGTATAAGCATTCAAAGTGATACCTTACATTTTTTGTGTAAATTAGGCTATCTATTTGAGGTTTATGGTACAATTTTTCTGCATTTTTTGGCCTCCAGTGTGGCAGTTGTAGTAGGAAACAATCATGCAGAAGATAAAATCAAAAATCATAGAAGGCTCTGTGATTTCAGGTTCCTAGCCCTGATTTATAACCAAAGATTGCAATCTTCAACAGCAATAGCATTTAGGCTTATGTACCATCCCATAGCGCTTTACATCACTCTTTGAGTGACTTAAAATGTCGGCAAATAATTTGAATATTGCCCCCAACAATCTGGATCCTCATTTTACCAACCTCAGAAGGATGGAAGCCTGAGTCAACCTTGAGTCCATCAGGATCGAACTCAGGGCTGTGGGCAGAGTTTGCCTGCAGTCCTGAACTTTAACCGCTGTACTGCCAAAGCTTCAGTCAATCTGTTGGATTGTAATTCTGTACATAACAAAACTGCCTTTTAAAAGTGGTGTCCTCTAAATCTCCCAGATTTAGTCACGCCAAGCCAAGTTGTTCCAAGTATTTGGTCCTTGGACAACTGCAACCTGAATTTTCCAAGGCATAATAAACTCCCCCCACCTCCCCAGATGTTTTGTGCTTGAGCTGATCTCCTGTTATGGTGCGCAAGAGATCCAGTAGCTGTAACTGATCTTTCTTCCTGTAACCGCAGAGCTATGCCTGGCCCCTTCTGGAAACCATGTTCTCTGAAGTCCTGACAAGGGAAGAATGGCTGAAAATGTTTGATAATATCTTCTCCAACCACCCCTCCTACTTGCTGATGGTAGTGGCTGCCTACCTTATCTGCTCCAGGGCTCCATTGCTTCACTGCAATCGGAAGGAGGACTTTGAGGTAAGTCCCTTGCTTTATGTATGTGTGTATATATATATGTATGTATATGTATGTATGTATGTATGTACCCTGTTTCCCTAAAAATAAGACCTCCCCAGATAATAAGCCCAATTTGGCTTTTGAGTGCATGCGCTAAAATAAGCCCTCCCCCGAAAATATTGCAACACAGCAGCAGCCATGAGGTGACCACGCTTGCCACCTCCTGCACCTCAAAATAATAAGACCTCCCCGAAAATAAGACCAAGCGCTTATTTTGGGGTTCCAAAGAAAATAAGACCCTGTCTTATTTTTGGGGAAACACGATATTTACTTACTTACTTACTTATTTGTATGCCACCTTTATTATTTTTTACAAAGACCTCAAGGCAGCAAATATATCCAATACAGCTTCCTTGTGATCTTTTCCTGTGAGGTAGGTTGAGCTGAGAGAGAAGGAGGGAGAGAGAGAGAGAGAGAGACTGGCTTAAAGTCACTGAGCTGGCTTTCACGGCTAAGGCAGGACCTGAACTCGTGGCCTCCCACTTTTTAGCCTGGTGTCTTAACAATTTGACCAAGGAGTATGTTCCAAGGGTGAGCAGCTCTGATTGTGATTCCTAGTCCAAAGTTCCTCAACCTTTCTGGCTTTGCAGACTGGGCGGGGGCGGGGGGGGGGAGAAAGGGGACGATTCCACCCGAGGGCTGGCCAGCTCACATGCGTGTGCGCCACTCCCTTTGCATGAGTGACGGACACACACTTGCCTGCTGCTTGTGCAAATGAAGTGTAGGCCCCTGTACCTGCCCAAGTAGGGATGCACAAGTGTGTACTCCCCCACTACTTTCGCGGCCCAGTTCTAAACAGCATAAGGCCCAGTAGTGGGCCACAGCCCAGCGTTTGGGGGCCTCTGTCCTCATCCAGGCTAGGAAAAGAGGAAACCATGAGTTGAAGTCCCACCTTAGTCACGAAAGCCAGTGGGGTGCCCTTAGTCAGTATCTCTTTCTCTCTCCCACATTCCCCCTCCCCCCCTCTCTCTCAGCCCAATTCAATTCACAGGGTTGTTATTGTGGGGAAAACAGAGGGCAGAAGAAGTATTGGATGTGTTTGTCGCCTTGTGTTGTTTGTATCAATAATAAAGGTGGGATACGAATGAATAGCATATTTTTTCGGACTATAAGACACACCGAATATAAGATGCACCAAGATTTCAAAGAGGAAAACAAGAAAAAAATAGTTTTTGCCCTCCCCGGCCCCCAGGAGCACTCTGCAGGCCTCCCAAACTCATTGCACACCCTGTATTTGCAAAAATCAGGTCTGTTTTTGGCGAAAACGGGACGCTCAAAGAGGAGTTTCAGGAGGCCCAAAATGGCCATATTTGGTGTATAAGACACATCAATATTTCTGCCCTCTTTTAGGGGGGGGGGGTGCGTCTTATACTCCGAAAAGTACAGTACATTGAAAAAAACATAGCGGTAGGAGCTTGAGTATGGATTTCTTTGTGCTTCCGTTGGCCTCCAGTATTTCTTCCACCATCGGAACCACCTGGACGTCAGCGTGGTGATCCGGGAGGCCTACCACCTCATGGAGTGCACCCCGGACGACATCCACCCCGTTCGTATGCTGGAGGACTTTGCCTCACTGACCAAAGGGCAGTACCCCATCTTTAATAAGTACCCCAAGTTCATTGTGGATTACCAGTCCCAGGAGCGAGAGCGGATCAGGCAGGAGGAAATTGAGTACCTAAGAGAGAGGTAGGTGTTCTTGGATCCGATGGAGAGATGAATATGAACATAAACTTACTTGGAAGAACATGATAATAACACTGTTGAAGGCTCACTCGGACCCCTGGGCTCAGTTACTCGATGCCAGGAGGGGATCACACCTGATATATTTACCTTTTCCTCCACATTTTGGTCTGATTTACACAGAGTAATCTTCACTGAACCAGACCAGAGGGGGAGCAACAGGGGTGGGTTGGAATTGTCCTAGCACATCTTCAATTCCCAGTCATTATTAGTACAGCCAGTGCCTTGAAAGTGCTGGTTTTTTTTTAAAGAAAGCACAATTCTGGCTATGTTAGTACTGCAATATCCATCTATCTGTAGCAAGAAAGGGCACCTTTGCTGACCAAGATGACTGAATTACAATCCAACACAACTGGGGGGGGACATCGCTATGTGGCTGCTTGCCATAACAAGGAGGAGGTGGGACGGAGTTGCAGAGCGGCAGGGGGGGGGGGGGGGGGGATTGGAAAAGCCTGTTGCTGGACTTCTATGGAATATAAACTAGGTTGATTTACTCTTCCTTGTGAATTTACTTTGAAGATCTTAATGCAGTTCAGCATGAGGTTTATTGTGGCCTGCCAGCAGATCTGGCAGCAGATTCGGACAGTGAGGAAGTTGGGGAGGAACATGGGCCAGTCCTGGAGTCTGGGAAAAGCTCTGATGAGGGCTCTGTGTCGGAGGCAGAGAGGGGGCAGTTATCAGCTGCCTTTGCAATCGGACATCAGTGAGGCAGAAGAACAGCTGGAGCCTGTTCCCTATGTGCGCATGCACAGAGCTTCCAGGAGAAGGGAACAGCCAAGCAACAAGGGCCGACTTGGGAGTAAGGCCACAGGTGGACGGTGAATGGCCCTTCCCATAAGGAATAAAGGGGAGTGAAAGGGGAGGGGAGTTTGCAGGAGACAATTAGTTCNGCGCCCTGCTTTGGGCCTAGTAGGCCTTCCTGCAGCCTGGGAGCAAAATTGCCCCCCACCCGCTTGTACGCCCCCTGTGCGTGCGCAGGCATCTCCTGCATGCACCCTGCCCCCCACACATATACGGCAAAGACCTGAAAATCAGCTGGTGGGAGGAGGTGTGTGCACATGTGCATTGGAGAAGACCTGGGGTGACACCTCGCATGCCCGCAGAGAGGGCTCTGGTGCCACCTGTGGACGCGTGCGATAGTTTCGCCATCATGGCACTAAAAGCTTCCTTATCACCTGCATATCTACCTCATTACAATTTTCCCCTGTAAATAAAAATTATCTGTAATTTATGGACTTCCATAAACTAAGTGGGAAACTGTATATAAAACTATAAGCTTCCAGTTATATTACAGAACTATAAAAGTGCTCCCATTTTGCTAGATTCTGTGCTTTCAAGACTGGGACTGCAGTGACACCTCTGTGTTTACAGAAGAACTGGATAACAGTTTGTCTTCTGCAAATGTGAAGGAGTACCTATTATAGTTTTACTTTATTAGCTTGTGCCATGTACCGTATTAACCCTACAGAACCAGAAATCACTGTTGACAACACCCAACTGATAAAATGTAAACAGCTTCAAATACTTGGGAAGGGTCACCTTGAGTGATGGATTTTTTGGACAAAGAAATTGACTCTAAGATCAGCAAGATCAGGCAGGCTCTTGCATGGTTGCATACCAGAGTGGTCAATCAGCAGAGTGTTCACATTTCCACAAAGGCAAAAGTCTACAGAGCTGTGGTTATCCCTTCTCTTTTACAGAGAGATATTAACAACAAATCAGATAACTGCAAAAAATCTCACATACACACCCTCTGCTCCATCTGTGGCATTCATTGGCAAGAATGTGTCTCTAACTTTAAAGTCTTGAAACAGGTGAAGTCCACCAGAATTGGGTGGTTTATCAGAGTCCATATGTAGTGGATGGGTCATGTCATTAGAATGAATATCCATCATGTTCTTGCCAATTGCTTTTTGGTGAACTGGAGATCTCAAGTTATATATGCAAGTGTTACTAAGATACTGTGAAGAAAACCCTAGGTTACTGTGACAACCAAGGGAACTAGATGATGTGGCTGTTGACAGAACTCAATGGTAAGCCCTGTGCTATGAAGTCTATAGCATCTTCAAAGACAGGTACCACTACTGAAACCGTAAGTCTCATCACAGAATAACACTCACAGTTGTTGTAACAATTTCCAGTGCCCCCAATTGAACTATACTTTGCCCTTCCAGACTGGAACTTCATAGCCAATTGCATGTTCACAATGAAACGCACAACAGCATGTCTTTTTCCAAAGGACTTGTCAGAGTTTTTGTCAGGGTGGCTATTGTTATGAGATAAAGCACAGGAGAAATACACAGCACATAGCACACAGCCTTTATACAGTTATTAGTGATATATATATCTGTACACATATATATACAGACATGCACATGGAGATAAATCCCTTACCACTCAGCTACGAACACACAAGGATACACAATGAGAAATTTTTGTCGTTTTTGTCAAAAAAAGGGAGGGGAGCATTAGGAAGCTTATAGAGTGCTCCTGGAGGCTGGGGGGGGGGGCGCAAAATCATTTATGACCTTCCCAGCCCGCAGGAGCTCTCTGAAAGCCTCCTACAAGCTCCGCACTCCTATTTTGGTGAAGGGGCGGGATTTCAGGAGGCAAAAAAAATGCTGTATTCGGTGTATAGGATGCACCTAGATTTTCAGCCTCTTTTTTGAGGGAAAAAGGTCCGCGTTATACTCCGAAAAATATGGTAGGGGTGTGTGTGTGTGTGTGTGTGTGTGTGTGTGTACACACACACACACATATTTGTAGATTTTCATGGGTGTAGGTATGCTGGTCTTGTTGTATTCGGGTCTTTTCCCATGTAAGATTGAGATTGTCTTGGCAACGTTTCGCTGAGGTCTCACTCGCCATCTTCAGGCTGGGTTTTGGGCTTAAAGCGTGNCGGCAATTCAGAAATGCACTTGTGTGAACCAACCCACAGTGGGTACTTCAATTTCTATCACTGTCATGGTGATACCTCCAAAATGAAGCAATCACTTCTTCCACTCAGCTTTATAAATCCTAATGCTACATCATAGAAATGCTTGCTGCTTTCTAGTTATTTCAGCCCTTGGTCAAGTGGTCCCCAAAAGTTTAGGAAAAAACTGTTTGACAGCACTATCATGTCCAGTTCTTTTCTTTGAGGCTGGTCCTTTGTCAGCGGAGCTCAGTTAGTGAAACTTCAGCATTAGACCCTGGACAGCACCAGGAGCCCTAGAGGAGAGCTTCTTTGTCAGAAAGGTGAAAAAAGACCACCCCTCTTTTTCCTTGCCAACGATGGATGTGGAATGCTTCCTTTGAGTAGGTGACACACAAACAACAGCTTGCTATTATTCACTTAGATCTAATGGCACCTTCTTCTCTTTAAATACCCCAGAGGCAATAGAAGGATTGTTTGTGACACATGCTGTCCAACTGAATGCAAGCAAAGATGCAGCTATAGGAAAAGGTGGTAGCTTTTGCTTCTACTGATCCATTGGTGGCACTTCATTTTTCTGTACAACTTCCATAAGGATGCTTCAATATAGGGTTATCGAAAAACAATTCATTCATGTTTAGTATTATCTTTTATTCTGCCACGCTTTTTCAGATCTTTTGTATCAATTGTATTTCAGGATAAGGAAGTTTGTTTGTTTGTTTGTTTTGTTGCTAGAGCATACTAATAATGCTACTGGTTTGTGTTCCCGTGTAGGTCATTCAGATATAAAATGCGCAGGAAAATGCATTAAATACAAAAATGCATTCAGTCTTGATTAGACACACTGAAATCAGTGGGATTTAATTACATTTTTTTTCTTTATAACATAGAATGCTTTCAACACAGAGATTTAATATACTTTTATACTTTTATATCCCATACGAGCAGAAGAGACTCCTCTCTGGTGGCAAGATATTAAATGGCATTCCAACAGCCTTCATGCCAAAGAACACAATCTGTGACTATTAAATAAAAAAATCACATGCCCATATGAAAGATCATATGCATTGGATCCATAAAGATACAAAACACTTTCTGATTTATATACCAGTAGGAGTTGATATTTAACACCAATGAGGTGTACATGAAATTGGAGTAGATAATGGAGATAATGCCTGAAGCTTTGCCAGAAACTAAACCTTTTCAAGAATCTCTTTCTCTCCCCCCCCCCCCCTGCTTCTCAAATGCAAAGCAAGTGGACATATGGCTCATCTCCATCTTGAGAAGGCGGGTCCCTTCCTCGCAAAGTTTCGGATTGTATGACAAATCACGTCCTGGGGAGAGAGACTCTCGCACCAAGCAGAGGGTTTGAGGCGTGTGCCTCATTACCCCCAGACAACGGCTTCATTAGACTGGAAGGGGGGCCTAAAGCCCCACCCGCTCAGCACCACTGACCTCTCCTTCTCAATTTCGCTATTGTTTGTCCATTCCTGGTTCTTACTCTCCATACCATATGGTTCAGCTGAAGATTAAAAAAAAATAAGTATAAAGATCCACGCTGCCTGAATTGGGAATGTTCCAAGCCTCATACACAATTTAGATCTGCAAACACACTGTTACTGCACAGATCTGGTGTCACTTAACACAGAGAACCTGAGGGCTCCTTTTGTCTGAAGCTGTCTATCTCTATAAACATATGAACCCTCCCAATATTACAGTGGTGGAGCAAGTATGAAAACTTTACAAACCTTGCAGGAGTTTAGTAGGACAAATATATTTGTTAATCATCCATTCTGATGCTTATTCTGTACAAAATCTATGTTTGGCAATTGTTGAGGAACAAGAATGAGCAACGTTGCAATTTGGAGACCCTGCCATTAATTTCAGTAAAATTCAATTGCCCATTTGACACTAATATCTTCACTTTAAATCTCTAGGTCTTGTCACAGGTGATTTTTGAAGGAAATTATTTTTGAGAATTACAGATCAAGATCCCATCTTGCAATCCATAAAGCAATCTTTAAAAAATGCAATTA